GATTGATCATAAAAAAAAGTAATATCATTATAGAAAAATATATCAATTTGACTCAATTTGGATTTAAAATATACTTTAAGAGATTTAATTGTTTCAATAAATTAATATTTTTTTTTGTTTAGAGAGATTTTTAATTAAATAGTGATTCAAAAAAATGTGTCACTACTATATTTATTTTAGAATTTTCTAAATAAACTCTACCCACTTATTACATCTGTATATAGAGGTTTTAATCTATATTTAGAAGAAAAACTTAGAGAAAATCTACAAAACTTATAAAAATAAGAGCAAAGACACTTCTTCTACTTTCTCTCTCTTTATATAGTATTCCTTATGAGAACAAAGACAAATCTAAAAATAGACCTATTCTTTTACATTTTTTTAAATTTACTTAAAAATAAAAATCTTTATAACAATCAATTTAAACTTTAAAAATTAAGTATTTTTGTAAATTGAGATTTTTTATTTAAAATTATTCAAAGTATCTAGTGGTCAATAAATAATAAATTTTATATTATTTATTTAATAAATTATTTTCATCAAATAATCAATCAGGTTTTGATATCAAGAAAATCTGCATTCGAATAAATAATACCATTAAAAATCAACCGTGTTCAATATCAAACAAAGTTTGGTATTAGACTAAAAGCTAACAAAGAAAACCTACCTTATTCGAATTCAAACAATTTAATGATTAAATCAAGAACTTATTCAATGATGTTGAATAAGGATAACATTCTTTTGTCCATAAAAGAATACAAACTTGAATTTTGTATCTAAAATTTTATTAAATTATAAATTTTGTTATTTCCTAATGGATTTTGTGTATAATTTTATTTGTAGTGTAAAATTTGTTGGTCGCATAAACATTCAATCACTGCCGGATATAGTTAAATATTTTACAAATAATAATAAATGTGTAATAAAACTAATATCCAATCTTTTGTATTTTGAAAAATTATCATACTTCTTTTTTAACAAAAAGTTCAAAACTGTGAAGAACGAAGGCTAATGAAGCCTTGAACCCAATCCAATAAGCCTAATGAAGCAATTCTTATCATCAAGATTCTCTCAACATGCAATTATCCACATATTTTCATGCCCAAATAATCCATTCAAAATATAGGTAATTTCTAATAATGCTCAGTCCAAAAACACAAATAAATCTCAGCTCATCATCTTCCAGTGTCTGTCAAATAGGAATCATCATCTATAAAGACCCAAAATCTTGGATAAAATAAATTTAAATTAAAGATGCAGAAGCGTATAATAATATTAAGATTTACATTCCTTACACATAAATTAGAATACCCAATAGGACTACGAAAATATTCATTTCATAGCGGTTCATTAAAAAAATGAATAAACATATAAAAATAGAAAATAAATATTGCAGTGAGTTTAACCTCCACTAACTCTTGATAAGATCTGGAAGATACCTACTCACAGTCCTCCTATTGATTAGGATATGG